GAATGTGAACAAAACTAAACATCAATATATCTGAATGTGAACAAAAACTTAATATCAACGTACCTGAATGTGAAAAAAAATTAACATCAACGTACCTGAATGTGAACAAAAACTTAACAAAAACGTACCAGAATGTGAACATAACTTAACATCAACGTACCTGAATGTGAACAAAAACTTAACATCAACGTACCTGAATGTGAACAAAAACTTAACATCAACGTACCTGAATGTGAACAAAAACTCAAAATCAAGGGCATTGGCACGTTCAAGTTTATTATCACATCGACAAGGCTACGAAATTAATTTTCCGCTAGTCATACTACCAGATTTTCATTTTTTAAATTATGAACCTATTAAACTCGTAGTAGACTTCGAGAAATATTTTTAGTGAAGTGTAATGAATAATTGACGGTAATCTGGGACACTTTGTAATTCAGCCTAAAAACCGCTAGCATTAAATACCCATTGATTTTTTAATCAGAACTGATGAATGAGTGACAGCAGATGTGATATGTAGTAATAGGAATTGTTGCAGAAGTAATATGTAGTGATATGCATATGTATCCGTCTTGATTAGAAAAATAACTTATTGTTTATTTAAATTATATTGACCATAAAACTCGATGCATAAATTAATGAATTCCTTGGATAGAAATTCAATAATCAGATTCGAGGTAAAGTTAAATTTATAATTGTAACGGTGGCAAAAATTCCTCTTAAACCGGAAGCATTCCATAGAAACGAACAAAACAATTTAAATCAAAATNCTGTCTCTTATACACATCTAGATGTGTATAAGAGACAGGGTTATAACCGGCTACGAAAATGTATAATCCTGACGAATCGATGGTTAAATCGTTCAAACACACGATTACACATGGGTAGCTTTGGGGTCAGATTATGGTAAAAATGCGTGGGCGGTGTTGTTGCACTTAATTGCCATGGTGGCCGTACGTTTGCTCCGGAGATCACACCTTCGTTAGGGATAACACACACTAACTTTTTAAGTCAACTAATCACTCTGTAGGTCACCTAATCACTCTGTAGGTCACTAATCACTCTGTAGGTCACCTAATCACTCTGTAGGTCACCTAATCACTCTGTAGGTCACCTAATCACACTGTAGGTCACATAATCCCTCTGTAGGTCACCTAATCACTCTATAGGTCACCTAACCACTCTGTAGGTCACCTAATCACTCTGTAGGTCACCTAATCACTCAGTAGGTCACCTAATCACTCTGTAGGTCACCTAATCACTCTGTAGGTCACCTAATCAGTCTGCGGACAATTCAGATACTCTATAGACCATCTAATCACTCTACAGAGGACTCAATCACTCGTTTGACCACCTAATCACTCTTTAGACAACACAATCACTCATTAGACCACCTAATCACTCTTTAGACAACATAATCACTGTTTAGACCACCTAATCACTCTTTAGATCACCAAATCACTCTGTAGACGTCACACTCACTCTGCGGACTGCGGTCGTGTTGGCGACATTAGTGCAGGTGGCAGCATGGCAGGCAGAGTGTCCGACACGGTGGGCATGTATGACCCGTCGTCCACTCTAGGCCGGCCGTCCATCGCAACGATTATTTTTGCTTCAATAATTCAGAACTTGAATTATTTTGAAATATTCCTTTGACGCATAACATGCATTTTGATTTGACATTTGTTGATAAAATACGAGGGGATCATTTGTTCCGATCTTTTTGGATATAAGTTATTTATTTATATTCAGAGCTTAGCTAACTGTTGAGGTATTTCGGTTCTGTGTCGTATTATTGAAATGGTAACTCTTCCCTAAGATAAAACAATGCATTTGACGGCTGGTTTGCAGATGTAAAGAGCGAGTAAGAGGAAGTCGTTATCCTAAATCACATGATCGACGAGACGAATAAACAAACATTTATTATCTATAACATTACTATTTGTCTTATAGAATGATAGATAGTGTAAATATTGGATTCACTAAAGCAGCTCATAGTTTTTTTTCTGTTCAGGAAGAAATTCATTTAGTCATTCAAATCAGTGAATAGTGCAGAAATAGGCATAGAGTTCTAGGCGGTCCTATGCCGACCATTGGTCCGTAATAAGATACTAGTTGGTCAGAGTGAAGGCCTGACTTGCGACGTCAAGACAACTCCCGTTGCCCCAGTCACCGGGATTGTGCCGGCTATGGAAAGGCACACAGAGCCTATTAGCATAAATTAATAATACATAGTGACGACAGAAGAATTTATGCAGTTATTGGACAAATGTCGTTGTCACAGAGACGCAGGGCCATTACCGGCGTCGAAAATGCAGTACTTCGACGAATCAATGGGTAAATCGTTCATGCACACTAATGGAACGCGTGTGCGTTGTTAATGAATCGCTGACACGCTTGAGGACAATGTGCTTATAAACGCAGCACTAGAACTGATAACAATGAAAAAAAAACAAGTGTTTTCGTTGCAATACTGTTTCAAGCGGCAAATTAACTTAATTTTATCAACTAATTTCTCTTCTTCGTAAAATAAACAAAACAAAGTTGGGGTTTGACCCCGCCAAGAAAAATTCATTGAAGCAATATTTGAGCTTAAAAATATTCTTTCAGTTTGCCATACTTTAAAATTCACGTTCAGTTTATATTTACGTTGCTACCGCGTGTTGAAATATGCGTATGACCGGCCTCACTTTCAAGGCTAGTAGCCCCAGGGTGCATTGATCTACTATACTTCATGTATAAAGTGTTCACTCTTCAAGGCTCGTGGCTAGCAACCTGTCGTCAAGTGAAGTCAAGCAACAAAACAGCAGATGTCGAAGAGTCATGCTCTTTAACCATTTTATTTATTATATACGGCGACCATTTCACTCATGTTACTAGTGATGAATAACATGGAATTTAAATTTTCTGGATGTGTGCACTAAGTTGAACTAGTGAATTAGTTTCGAATATTTATATAGTTTATGGCAAATATTTTATGCTATTTATATTATTATGTTTTATAGTCAAAAAGAGAACTGATGCGAGTGTTGAATGATCACGGGACGGTTCAGTGATACGACGAGCGTAAAGTGTTCCGTGAAAAATAACGAGCGAAAAATGGTACAGGGAAAGCAACGAGCGTGAAGTAGTACGTAGAAGGAAACGAACGAAAAGTGGCACAAGAAAAGTAACGAGCGTGAAGAGTATGTTAAGTAACGAGGGAAAGGTGGTCCAGGGAAAGTAACGAGCGTGAAGCAGTACGTATAAGGTAACGAGCGAAAAATTGTAGGCCTTAGCATCTCGTAGGTTTTAATAACATCAGGTGACTACAATTGAATGTAAATAACTTTATCAGTGTTTGTTAATTAGAGTCCGTTTTTTAAATTTTATATTTGACTAAATACGAGAACTGTTATAATAATCACTGTACGTATAATTTGTTCCTCATGCTTCATAGTTCTGAAATTAATTTAAAATGACAACTTTTCAAATGACTTAAGGTTTATTTGCGCATTAAGTTCACATGATTTCTGGTCACAACATGAAATATTTGGCGAGCAAAGTCTAATTAATGTTAAAAAATTTCTGTTTTAGGTCAGAATTTGAATGCTCGCTTTTTTCCAGCAGCACTTGAGTCGAGGGTGCGAACGCTTTACTTGTACATGGTATNATGTGCTGCCCCTCGTTACCCCATCATACCCTGATGATGTGCTGCCCCTCGTTACCCCATCATACCCTGATGATGTGCTGCCCCTCGTTACCCCATCATACCCTGATGATGTGCTGCCCCTCGTTACCCCATCATACCCTGATGATGTGCTGCCCCTCGTTGACGGCCTCCCCCACGCTCCTCATCACCCCCACGTGTACTCCCCCCGTCAACAGCCACGCGTTCGTGGAGCGAACGGCCTAATAAAGGAGATAAGATAACATGATGATAAGGCATGTAAGGTCATATGAGCTTGTGGAGTAAGATCTTATGAGGGAGTAAGGTCTTAAATGTTTAAGATACAACAAACGAAATCAGTAAACTTATGAAAATTTTTGGAGTCTTAAGCATTTATATTATCATTTTTACATGCCGGGATCGTGCTTGTCCAAGTCAATACGAACAATTCGAGGCAATTACATATTGAGGTAGCTCTCATTTGAGGCAGTCATAGAAGAAGCAGCCATAAACCTCCTTGGACACGATATCAAACCCATGGGGTTAAACTAAATCAGTATCGATAACCTTGCACTGCAAAAAACTCTGAATTAATAAAAAAATTCGAAATAATGATGTTCTCTCACGAAAACGCTATACAAAATTTTCAAATCATTTTAGTTAATGATGAAATCTTAAACTTTTTGAAATGTTCTGAGTTTGCTACGTAACAAATTAATATTAACAAACCGAGAACAATACGACAAACTAAGCTCTAATTTCAAGTGTTCAATTATTTATTTAATACAATTCGACTATGTAAAAAGTATGTTGGTTTAACCCCTGTGATATTTCATTGGTACAATTGGACCTAAACCATTGGTACGATTCTAATGTTGTAAAAATATGCAGTCAGACAAGGGTAAATAGTTCACCTTGATGAGTCCGGTGTTGAAAACAGCTTTTTTGTTTCCATCAAGTTTAAAGTTCTTGGCCCCACCGGTGACAGAGAGTACAAGGTTTGGCCTCACAGGTTCAGTGAGACGCCAATAATCGATTAACAGGGACAATACTTTATCCATACTCGTGGTGTTACTCATACGCACGTATTTAGCCGGTTTGCTAGAACCTGGGCACGAATTGGAAAGAATATGAGTAAATTTTAAAATATTTGTTTTAAATGGAAGTAAATTATTAGTTTTCCAACATAAAATTNCTGTCTCTTATACACATCTAGATGTGTATAAGAGACAGGTTCTGGATGGCGGAAAAAGTGAAACACAAGGTGCTGAATAGCAGAAGTGGCGCAACCCAAGTTGCAAAATAACAAAAACGGTGCAGTAAAAGGAACAAATGGCCGAAACGGTGCAACTCAGATAGGCTGGTCGAAGAATTTGCAACCAGTCCCCAGTAGAAAACTATACTGTAGGCTGCAAAGTATGCCTGTAAATGCATAACTCATAATAATAATTATGATCTTGATTACAATCTTTAAGAAGCTTGAACCCAATTGATATGAATTTGTGAATACACGTCAGTTGCGCAGGCGATTATTGAATTATATACAAAATGAATTCCTCATTTAAAAATTCGGAATTCGAGATTGAATTATAAAAAAAATCTTTAAGTGTAATTTAAAAACTTTTTTAGTATTTATTTGATATTAATAAATGATAGATGATAGAAAAATTAGTGTATCACTTTGAATGAACTATGTGTATGGATTTAATCATTATATTAGGTGCATTAAAGTTTCAGTCGCTCATGCCACTCACCTGGGAAGATGTGAGACTCAGCAATGTCAGGTCTGTTCCACAGCAGCGACAGATGTAGCTGGTCCAGTCGAGACGACTCCGACGCCAGGCCATCTCCTGTTGAGTGCATTATTCATTTTTATTATTATTATATGATACATAATATGTATTATATAATATATAGTAGATAGTATACAATATATCATATTATTTTTTATATATTTGACAGTCAATTAATGCACGCTTGTTGAAGATTATGGGCACATCTATCAAAAATAGTTACGAGCTACGTCAGCCAATCACTGACGAGAAATTGGCTGTACGTGTACTTAAGCTTTAATATAGAAAATAATTTTTTAATATTAAATATTTATTTATTTAACTCGTCGTTTATTTATTATTTTTTCTTGTTATTCACTGCTGTTCAACAGAATGTACTTTAAAGAGCAATTCCTGCCTAGGCAGAAAATTGAATGTCTGTTCATTATATTCTGCCTAGAAAAATGAACAGATATTTAACTTATCAGATTATTTATTCTGTGTAGGAACAGACTATTGATTCATATAATTGTTATTTGTTTAACATAATGGTATTTCATGTATTAGACTTCACCAAACGGACATAAACACCGTACCTTTCCTGTATTTTTGATTATACAGGATATTTTCACCATAATTATTTTATTTTCTTCATTAAAAGCATAAATTGGAATTTTTCAATGACCTTTAAGAAGGGCAAAGAGAATATATTTGTCCATAGGCTCGCCCGAGTTGATGTCGTAAATGGTGATGAGGTCAGCGAGCTGGCAGCACTGCAGCACCAGGTCAGTGCACACCTGCTCAACAAATTTGTTTATTTAGTTGTTAAACATTTTTAATTATCATATATTGTATTGTTAAAAATTTATTTAATTATTGTTATTATTATTTATTTCTCAAAATGCACTTCGAGGGACAATATTTTTATGAAATAAACATATTGTTCCTAAATAAACAATATGTTTGTTAAACTAAATATAAAATATTTAAGATAAACATATATAATTATATTCATAAATATATCTCATTAGAATTGGCAATTAAAAATTCGGCAAGTCATCATCGTTTATTTCAAGTGACCATAATTTTTTAGGTTTATAACAGGGAAAATTTTATTTTGATGAAGGCGGCTCATAATAAGAAACTCCGTACCTTCTGCCTGCCCTTAGTGTAGAGGTCCATGGTGGTCTCAACACGTGTCGTCAGCTGCCGACGATGAGCTTTACGCATCACAAGTTTACCTCTGTAGTACAAATGATGTGACAAATAACTTTTTTACCGGTAATTAAAATATTTAATTTAATGTTCAATCGAAAATGTTAATGTTTGATCGAAAATTTTAATGTTTAATCAAAAATGCCAATGTTCATTCGAAAATGTTTAGTTGGGAGTTTTTTTTTCATTTGAAACTTTAAAATAATTTGATTTTTATGATATTTTCGGTTGTTACTCACGAAGGCGTTTCATGTGTCATGGAGACACCGTAAGCGATGAGGTCCGCCGCTCTACCCGTGCCAGCTACCACCACGACTGGGAAGTCGTCAGCTGCCGACGATGAGCTTTACGCATCACAAGTTTACCTCTGCAGTACAAATTACGTGATAAATAACTTTTGTAATGTTAATCAAAATGTTTAATCAAATGTTTAATTGGAAATGTTAATGATTGATCGAAAATGTTAGTGTTTAATCGAAAATATTAGTGTTTAATCGAAAATATTAGTGTTTGATTGAAAATGATAATGTTTGATCTAAAATGTTAATGTTTAATCGAAAATGTTAACGTTTGATCGAAATTCTTAATGTTTATTCGAAAATGCTAATGTTTGATCGAAATTGTTAATGTTTAATCGAAATTGTTAATGTTACATCGAAATTGTTAATGTTACATCGAAATTGTCAATGTTAATTCGAAAATGTTAATGTTTATTCGAAAATGTTAATGTTTAATCGAAAATGTTAATGTTTGATCGAAAATGGTAATGTTTAACCGAAAATGTTAATATTTAATCAAAAAGTTAAGGTTTGATCGAAAATGGTAATGTTTAACCGAAAATATTAATATTTAATAAAAAATGTTAATGTTTGATCGAAAATAGTAATGTTAATTTGAAAATGTTAAGGTTTAATCGAAATTAATAATCTATTACGATACATTTATTATTTATTTTCTACTAAAATTAAGCCACTGCTTTTTATTGAGGGAACTGGACCCATTTTCAGTAAACATTTATCACCACCAGCAAGCACGTCTCATGCATAGTTCACTTCGTCACGAACAATCAATATTTTGCCTTTCACCTTTGTTGAGTCACGCAATACTTTTCGACACTTAAAATTATTCGTACTAGTTAGTTAGACACGAAGGTTTTTCGTGGCAGACTGACTGGAAAGGAAAATACGCTATCTACAGTTCACGCTATCTTCAGTTGGGAATTTTTTCAGCTTAAACTTTTAGATAATTTGATTTTTTTGTGATAATTTTGGTTGTTACTCACGAAGGCGTTTCATGTGTCATGGAGACACCGTAAGCGATGAGGTCCGCCGCTCTACCCGTGCCAGCTACCACCACGACTGG